ATGATGCTGATGCTGGTGATGATGCTGATGCTGCTGATGCTGATGCTGATGCTGTTGATTCTGATGGTGGGGATGGTGCTGACGATGATGCTGATGGATGGTGATGATGATGATGATGCTGCTGCTGAGGATGATGATGCTGCTGATGATGATGATGATGGCGGTGGTGGTGCTGATGCTGCTGATGATGATAGTGATGATGGTGACGATGGGGGGGGTGATGTTGCTGATGATGAGGTCCATAACGATGGTATTGTTACCGATGATGTTGTGAGTGATGGTGATGGTGATGCTGATGATGATGATGATGCTGATGATGCTGATGATGATGATGATGATGATGCTAATGATGCTGACGACGATGCCTCTGCTGCTGTGTATGATGATTATGCTGAGGATCATGGTTGCGATGATGCTAATGTTGATGGTGCTGCTGATGATGATGAGGCTGGTGACGATGAGGCTGCTGCTGATGCTGCTGATGATGAGGTCGCTGCTGCTGCTGCTGATGCTGATGCTGCTGATGATGATGCTGATGATGATGATGATGCCGACGATGACGTCCACACAGATGATGATGGCACGGAGGAGGAGGTGGAGCAGGTGGTGGAGGACGAAGGCGGGATGGAAGAGAGATGAGAGAGGAGGAAGAAAGGGCGAACGTAAGCACTAACGTGATGACTAACTCAAGGAAGTAAGGGAGGTTGACTGAGGTGAGGCATGCGGTGGATGCCGACGATGATGATGATGATGATGATGATGATGATGATGATGATGATGATGATGATGCTGGTGATGAGGATGCTGATGCTGATGCCAACGATGATGGTGATGATGCTGCTGATGATGCTGGTGATGCTGATGCTGAAGCTGCTGCTGCTGATAATGACAATGCTGCTCATGATGACGGCGATGATGATGATGCTGATGATGATGATGATGATGATGCTGCGGATGATGATGACGATGACGATGCTGAAGATGACGATGAAGATGTTGATGATGATGCTGCTGCTGATGATTATGATGCTGACGGTGATGACGAGAAGGTTGTTGATGTTGATGCTGATGACGATGATGCTGATGATACTGTTGATGATGATGATGATGTCGCTGCTGCTGATGATGACGATGCGGGTGATGATGAATCTGACGATGACGATGATACTGATAATGATGAGGATGATGGTGATGATGGTTACGATGGTGATGATGCTGATTAGGATGATTATGATGATGAGGAGGAGGAGGTGCAGGAGGAGAATAACTATGATGATGTGGAGGAGCAGGAGGAAGAGCAGGAGGAGGAGGAGGAAGATGGGTAGCAGGAGGAAGAGGAGAAGGGGTAAGGAGGGGGAGGTGGGATGATTATGGTGGTGAGGAGGGCGAGGAAGCAGGAATGAGGAGGGTGAATGAGGACGATGGGTCCCAGGCTAACAGGCCAGTATAATCTGATTCGTTGTCCTGGTTCTCGTTCCAGTGTTTTTGTTTTTCCCATGCAGTGCTTTCATTTTTGAGTTAAAAAGCAAAAAACGATCTTGGCCGTGTCTTCTGTCTGGCGGCTATGTGGCCGCTGTCGCCGCCCCGTCACCGCCTCGTCGCCGCCCGTCGTCTGGTCCGTATCTTCGGGCCGCACTCGACTGCAGAACATATATTGCACCGCGTATATTGCACCACACACATTGTACCGCACATATTGCACCACATAGCTTGCGCAACAGAGTTGGCACCGCATATATTACACCACCTGGATTCCACAACATATATTGCACCACATGGAGGGCACCGTACATATATATATATATATATATATATATATATATTGCACCACATAGATGGCACGGCATAGTTTGCACATCATATATTGCACAACATAGACTGTACCGCATATATTACGCCACATGTATTGCACAACATATACTGTGCCACATTGAGCGCACACCATACATTGCCCCACAGAGATTTGGACCGCATGTATTACACAACATAGATGGCTCTACTTAGACTGCACCACATAGCTTGCACAACATATATGAAACCGCATAGACTGCACCACATAGATTGGACAGCATACATTGCAACACATAGAGTGCACAACACATTGCACCACATAGATTGCCCCACATAAATTGCACAACATAGGTTGCGAAAGACAAGCTGTTTGGGGCTCACGCTAGCTAACTTCTGTTTTTCCAATCTGTCCTTGTTTGCCCGTCGTGATTTTTGTTCGCGTCGCCGGAGGTCCCCGGGTATTCCTTGGCCATCGTTTTCTCAGTCGTAGATGTCCCTGGCACGTCTTGTGGCGGCCGCCACCGCCGCCGCCTCTGTCGCCGTCGCCGTCGTCGTCGTCGTCGTCGTCGTGGTTGTCGTCGTCGTCGTCGTCGTGGTTGTCGTCGGCACGCGCCCGCGAGTGCCCGGAGAGGCCAACTGGGTGCCCGCCGACTTCCCGCTGGCGGACGACCTCGACGCGGGCGTCGCGTCTGGCGGCTCGTCTCGCCCGGAGTGCGGGGGTGTCCCTGATGGGCTTGGCGACTGTCCTCCAATCGACTTGCGGGGATCAGGCCATATGAATCAAGGCAAATCCAGGTAAGTCGAGGTACATCAGGGTAAACAGGCCAGGGTGGATCCAGAGATTTCCAGGGAAATCTGCAGCAAATCGTGGACGCCACAGCGCGAGTCGAAGAACACCAGAAGTCGTTCAGCCCTCAACGAGGGTGGTCCGCACAGTGGGCCCTCAAGGGCTCGAGGCAAATCCAGGTGAAGCTAGGATAATCGAGGCAAGCCAAGGTATGTTAGCCAGCGTGGACCCCAAACGGTGATTTCTTGCCACCTATGCGGTGCAGTCTAGGTGGTGCAGTCAATGTGGTGCAATCTTGGTGGTGCAATCCATGTGGTGCAATCAGCGCAGTTCGAAGCACTGCAAACCAGTGCTGAACAATGCAGAGCAAGTTGCAATGCAATGCAATGCGGCTGCAATGCAATGCAATGCAAGCAACGCAATGCAATGCAACGCAAGCAACGCAATGCAACGCAATGCAAGTTGCAATGCAATGCAACGCAAGTTGCAATGCAATGCAGTGCAATGCAATGCGGTTGCCATGCAATGCACAGCAATGCACAGCAGTGCACAGCAGTGCACAGCAGTGCAAAGCAGTGCAAAGCAGTGCGAAAAGCCGTGCAAAGAGCAACACGGCCACGGGCGGCGACGGGCCGGCCAGACCGCCGCCGGGGCCACAGGCGGCGACGGGTCGGCGACGGGCGGCGACGAGCGGCGACGCGCCAGCTGCACCGACACCGGGGCCCAGTCTTAGTGGGCCCTGGAAACGACAGGCCGAACCGACGGCGCGCCCACCCGACGGCCTGCCCGACGACCTACACGACAACGCTGGACAGCAGCCTGAACGCGGCCGGGACGAACAACACGACGCCAGGAGAGACGAGGACGAGGACGACTTGGAGGACTGGAAATGGGCACCAACACCAACACAGGGGGTTTGCCTCCATAGGGGGAAGATGATCCTAGATTTCGGTCTTGGTGGTAATATTTCGGCCACCTTGGAAGCCAAGATATTACCACCATCGCCGAGATCGGGATCTTCTTCCCTCGGTGGAGGCTTAGTGGGCCCTGGAAACGACAGGGCCGTTTTTTAACCGGTTCCGTTTTGCCGTTTTTGCTGCCGGTTCCGACGCCGTGTTTTTACCGATGCCGTCGCCGTTTTTTGACCAGTTCCGGCTCTGGTTCCAATCCTGGAGCCGTTTTTTTGCCGTTTCCGGTCGCCGTTTTTTTGCCGTTTCCATTTTCAAAACACATTTTTTGGAAACGGTGAAAAAACGGCCCTGCCGTTTCCGGGGCCCACAAAGGGCCCAGTCACCTTAGAACAACAACAAAAACCCAAGTGCAAGCACGGTTTGGGGAAAATCCAGGTGCTCGAGCTTCGAGCAATCCCACGTGGTGGTCGGAAAGAGCCAAGAGCGACGTCGCAGCTCAGCCTTGATGAGCTGCTTAGGCCACTTCCCCCCCTCGATCCGTGCGAGGTGCTCTCGACGGTGAGGGTCAGCACGATGGCAACAGGACTTGCTCAGGTCACGGAGCTGCGAGTGAGTCAAGTGTCCGCGCGAAACACAAAGCCAGACCTCAAGTGCCTTGGACAACCGCATTTGATGTGTCCCTCCCCCCACCAGCGATATGAAGCCGCCCCCCCCCCACAGGGATCGAACGCAATGTCGAGTTGACACGCTGGGGCTAGAGGCAGGAAGATATCCACCACTCAGCAACGGCCGCCTCGGACGCCGACCCGTAGCAGCGCACTTGACGTCCATGCTTGGAATCGTCTTCGTCGAGCACGTGCTGGTAGACGAGGGCGCGCGAACGGCGGAGGGGGCGTTGAGGGGGGGGGGGGCGGAGGAGGAGGAGGTGGTGAGGAGGAGGAGGAGGAGGAAGAGGAGGAGGCGAAGGAAGGAGGAGGAGGGAGGAGGAGGAGGAGGAGAAGGAGGAGGAGGAGGAGGAGGGAGGAGAGAAGGAGGAGAGAACGAGGAGGAGGAGGAGGAGGGAGGAGAGGAGGAGGAGGAGGAGGAGGAGGAGGAGGCGGAGGAGGAGGAGAGGAGGAGGAGGAGGAGGAGGGGAGGGAGGAGGAGGAGGAGGAGGGGAGGAGGAGAGGAGGAGAGAGGAGGAGGAGGAGGAGGAGAGGAGGAGGAGGAGGAGGAGGAGGAGGAGGAGAGGAGGAGGAGGAGGAGGAGGAGTCAGGGCCTCGAGGGTCGCCCTGAGCAGGGCGGTGCTCGCTGAGCGGTGGGCGGGTGTCCGCCCGACCTGCGCGGTTATCGGCCTCTGCGCGTCCGGCCCGCGGGCGGAGGATGCGGCCGCCTGTCCCGCGGGCTCGCCCGCGCACGAGCTGCCTCGGACAAGCCACGGAGGGGTCCCTGCAGGCATGGCTTGTTTTGTGTCGGGCGTGTCCCCCTACGGGGGGGGATTTTCGACGAAAGATAAAAACGAATACCCCAACAATTTCCCGAAATGGTCAAAAAATACTCCCAAAATAGTCCCCAGACTATTTTTGGACTTTTTTTTGACTATGTTTTAATTTTTCGTCGAAATCCCCGTGTAGGGGGACAGGCCCGACTTAATAAGGCTTGTTCCTCGGTGAGGTGGGAGTTCACGACCGGCGCGGCCATCTGACTGGCTCGCTGCTCCATGATGCAGCCTACTCCGTGCCACAGATCTTTGTTGGCACCGCTGGGTCGCCGAAACACCTGGCCGTAATCAAAACTGTACATAACAGCGTCACAATCGGTCACATACGTCATGTGCCTCCGAGTGCGTTCTATCTAAAGCCAGCAGAACCCACGCAGCTCGCCCTGCGGAACCGACTGCTTCGGCGCGCCAGTGGCCCCAGCACCGAAGCCCAAGGAACACAAGGAACACAAGGAACACAAAGCTGGACGCAACCGTAATGACGACGCCGACACGCACGAAGCGTAAATCCCTAGACATCTTCTCTCAAGACGCATCGCCGAACACCACGATGGGCTGATCCTTAGAAACAGATGCCAGAGATAGTGCCAGACATCTCCCACGCCTCAGCGCTCGGCGGTTACGGACTCTCCGTCCAACTCGCGGGGGTCAGTCCTCGTAGCCAAACACACGGTGCCGACTCGATCTGGGACAAGGGCTGCATTGATTAGGTGGTCTGACTGGACACATGCCTTCGCACTCTTGTTACAAACACACCCCCAACACCTCGTGTTGCCCCGCCATCTCCTCCAGACGCCTCTGCCTTGGCCAAGGCTCGCCAGTGGCGATGGAGACGGGCAGCTCGCTCAGCTTCAGGCAAGGCGGGCCAGCGCGCAACTGGCCTAGCAGAAGTTTGCGCGACACTCTGTCGACGCCAGCCTCCAGCCCTTCGCCGCAAACATGCTTCGCAGCAGCTCTCAATTGCTTCTTCTTGATCGTTCTCACAGCGTCGTCCAGGAGCGGTTCTGGATCATCCTCAGTGAGATTTCCTGCAAGGTCTGGCGGAGGGCACAGCCACAGGGCCTCAGGGGTCCACCCCGCCTCCAGAAGGTAAAACATGACCAATCCATTCGGTCCCACCACCATCCTGGGACGATGTCCTGGCTCAGCCTTCCGAAAAGTTTTCCAAAGACGCGGCCAGGCGTGCTCAATACACGATCTGACAGACGGGGTGGTAAGGTACTGAGTGGGCCACAGGTCCCAGCACGCTCAGGGTTGGCAGCACCCTGGATCTCCCTCGTCAGTGCGAAAATCTAGCAGTGTGGTGAGGCATTGTCCTCGCTTGCCCGACGCGCAGGTGGCGCCTGGCTGTCTGCGGCACCTGAGCGTTGAACTGCAACAGCAACTCCGTGCAGTTGGTGGGCAAACGTCTCGGCTGTCAGCGTGCCTGCTCGAGTGAGCCTGCTGGTGGTAGCATGACGTTTCGACGCGCTGGCGAATCGTACAACTTTGGCGTGCATACCTGCTGCTTTGATGACCCGTTTGCCTCGAACCTGCCTGTAGTGTCTCCTTCTTTCCTTCTCCTAAGTCGGCTTTAAGAGTACTAGCTCCACTGTTTGCTGTGATCTGGACACCATCTCTTTGCAAACGCTTGGTACTGTATGTCGCATCATCGATGAGGCAACAAATGACCACACTCCTCGGCCAGTCAGTGAGCCGCTCTCGAGTGAGAGCGCGGCAAGTGTCAAGCAAACCTGAGATTGAACGCTGCCGAACTGCTGGCCTAGATCCTTGTACCAGCTGGGGCAATTCGTCTATCCTGGTACGCGTACCTGGGTAGGGGTGGGCAACTGCAATCGTAGAAAGTATGAAGTACGTGAGGCATCAAGCATATCTAGTACCACCCCGCAGCCCTTGGACGATAAACCGAAACGGGTATATGGGTTCGGCGACAACTCCTCCTTGCCCCAACGATCTCGGCATGATGCACTGCAGAAGCTCCAGGCAGGGAGCTACAGGCGGATCTCCAATTTTCGAAGCGTCCAGGATTAGCAGATGCCATTCCATCGAATGATAAAACCCCTGGGCGTCCAGAAGTTCATGTCCCATGGCTACACGTACAGATCCATAAAGCCTCTTCCCCGCAAGCCCCGCAACAAAAACGCCCCCCGCCGTGCAGCATTCTCAGAGACTGCTGCGCCCCAGGCAGGCCCGCTGTCCGCCGGCCGCGCCTCGACGTGGACCTCTCTCACCAAAGGCCAGATGCTCCCTCCTCCCTCCTCCCTCCTCTCTCCTCCCTCCTCCCTCCTCCCTCCTCCCTCCTCCCTCCTCCCTCCTCCCTCCTCCCTCATCGACAGGAGCCCGATAAAGCGATCAGCATTAGCTTTCTTGGGTATGAGCCGGCCGAGGGCCAAACTAGCTCTTTCTCTATCGTTGCGTATAGCTGCGCGAGTTCGGCAGGGGCGACGTCGGGAAGCCTTTCCGCATCTGTCGGACTTGCAAAAACGTCCACGCCCTGTCCGACCTTCGCCTTCATGGCGTGGGCCACTCGT